TACCACTACTGTGCATGTGTGTCAAGGACAGAAAGGCAGATGTGGCAGTGGAAGGTGTCAAAGCAGTTTGGAGAGAAAAACAGTAAAGAACAAAAAAAAAAAAACCGATTAATCGATTATTAAATTAGTCATCGATTATTTCAATAATAGATTAGTCGTCAACTAATCGTGGCAGCCCTGGTCACAGTGGGGTGGGATATTGATCACTGTTGGCTTTAGATGGCCGTCATCGCACAACTCAAGTGATGAGAGCCTTTGTTGTCGAGCTTCTGCCTCTCACACAAATCCTAGCAGAAAATGAGCAACAACAACAGAAACATGGAGGAAGGCAGCAAAGGTTTTATGACCATTTTTATTAAAAAACTCTTCCTGWCAGTGGGCTGGATAGAAGTAAAGTTCTCTGTGAGCACCGCATCGCTGTCGGGTTCACACAGCAAGATATTTGTGACGATTTTTGGCCGATCTTCCTCTTCCAACAGTCAAGGACAACAGAGACACCTTTTTTTGTTTTTTTCTCTCTTTGTTAAAAATAGTCCACAAACTATCACCACTGCTTCTTCCTCACCTGATGTGTTTGTCCGTCAGTCTGCAGTGTAGCTTACCACCATCATCATCAGTAAAGCGCTATATAGGTTTAATGTATTATTATTAAGACTTAGGTTTTATGAGATTTCCTGTGTGGTGTGTTGTCTTTGCCATGTGGCTGTACATTGTACACAGCCACATATACATACTRTATTTGAGTATACGTACAAATATATATGTACATATTTGAGTGTTCCAGGACTAAACCTGTTGTATCCATGATCGTTATATGTCGGGTCTCTCAAGTCTTTGAAAATCAGATGACAACTTTAAAATCTTGCTGTGTGATCAGGCAATACCAGAGGAGTTTGAGCCCGAAACATCACTTGAATTCAAAACACATCGTTACTGCTAGTCGCTGACCGCAACAGAAAAACATAAACATCTGAAAGTAAGACAGGCTCTTTGTTTAGAGTTTTTGAAAATGCACCAAAACTTTTTTATATAAAACAAAATCTTATTAATGCTYTAAACATCTTTTGAGTCATAATTTAATTTTGTGCATAACAAGATCAGTCACAATCTCAAAACTAAATTGAGATTCATCACAATTATAGGACTCTATAAAATCTGTTTTATTTTTCCCAAATTCCGTTTTTTCTATTTTAAATTTTTTTAATTCCACTTTTTCCATTTTTTCCTCTGAATTCCACATTTTCATTGTAACCATAATTATTAACCTAAAAAGTGTGTAATTATAAAGTGACTGAACAATAACTAAACAAATAAATGGCTGCAGAAATTTAAAAAATAATGTCATTTCATTTTCACTAATATAACAATACCTGTGGTTCAGTAGAATATTAAATTCTTTTTGAAAGGTGTTTAAAATTATTTACTAAGAAAAAAAACATTCTTTATGTGTGAAACATAATCTCACAATAAAGTTATCTTTTTGTAAAGTTAAAAATGTTTTAGAATTTAATGTAACATTAAATATGTCATAACGAAACATAAAACCAACACTTGCCATCTAAGCTCATTTACCTCTGTAATGGACACGCACGTGCGCACACACACACACACACACACACCGTTTACAGTGTTTTATCAAAAAACGGACAAAGCTTTTTCATGTTTTCTAAAGGAATATCTGATTCTGCACACACGACAAAATCATGGATAAACTCCCAGTCGGACTCCCAACTCACTGAGTGTTCAGGAGTTTTCAGCGTGTCTCTGCTGCTGCTCCCTCTGTCTGTGACTGAGAGAGGAAGCGGTCTTCACGGCGTCCAGCCCATCGTGTGCCAAAAACCTTGCGTAAGAGTTATTCTACAGATAAAGAAAAAACCCGCTGGGCTTTTGTTCTGTCCTAAATTTTATGCTAGCTTCATATTTTTGGAGGACGTTACTTTTAGCGAGTTTGTTTTTTGCTGTGCGGGTCGCGGTCACAGCTTTTTTTTTCTTCTTCTCCTGTGTCGGGAGGGGCGCTCAGTCAGAGCTCACCCCGCATGCCTGTTACCAGGTAACGGCAGGTATAGGAAGCGGCAGCGGCCAAAATACCTCAGAAACTCACCTAAGTAAGTGAATTCCGTGAGATTCTGCGTTTTACACTGGATTCCATTTTGTTTGGTCAATTCCACGATTCAATCCGTGTTGATTATTATCGAATTATAAGGTCCTACAATTAAAAAAAGTATATCTACGCCAAGCACTGTTATTTGTTATAGCGAAATCATTAATCTGTATTTAGATGTGATACCTGTGTGTGGACCAACACAATGCTTCATTACACAACAAATGTTCTTTTAGCTGTACTTTAGTTTTTATCTTTGAAAAAAAAAATTCTTTTAAAATCCTTTTGGATAATTTTGTCTGGATGTTTTCCCACAGCTTGTCGCCAACCAGGTGGAGCGGATCCGAAGAGAAGAGGCCTGCCCACAAAAAGTCCTGAACCACGTCAAGGAGCTGGCAGAGCAGCTCTTTAAAAACGTATGTCCTCCAAGTATTTTAGTACCAAATGTCACTTGGTCACAAATCTCATGTCTTTATTCTGTTTGATTTGTATGTCCAGGAGAACCCTTACCCCGCTGTGGCCATGCACAAGCTCCAGAGACCGTCTGAAACCAGCCAGAACCCCTCCCAGAATCAGACCCCCTTCCCTGTTTTAGACGAGGTGGCAGTGCAGCTCTTCATCGATCACGCCGCCTCCAAGCTCAAGAACGCGCCTCCTGTGGTCAAGGCAGAGATCAAGAGCATGGTGCCGTCAGGACCACCACTAGGTGGGCTGATTGTTGGATTCAAAAAGCAGACTGCTGCTTTAAAAAATGGAGAGAGAGAAAAAAACAACATTAATTCAACTCAAACACTTTGTAGGGTGTAGAGCAGATTCCTCTGTCTCAGACTGTCTTGTGTCTCTGCAGGAGACATCGTGGACAGGAACAGTAACGTGATGGCTAACAGCGCTCGCAGACTGGAGGTGGTCAGGAACTGCATCACGTACATATTTGAGAACAAAATGCTAGAGGCCAAGAAGGTAAGAGAGACATCTCTGCATGAGCAGCGGGAAGTGTGTAACCTTAGCTACAGCGAACAAAACAACAAACCTCAGCCGGTCACCTTCCTCCTCCTCGGTCCAGTTAATGCCAGCAGTACTGCGAGCGCTGAAGGGTCGGACAGCCCGAGTCTGTTTAACCCAGGAGCTAAACCAACACGTCCTTCAGAACCGAGCCGTGCTGGATGACCAGCAGTTTGACTACATTGTCCGCATGATGAATTGCACCTTACAGGTGAGCACCTACAACTGTAACACACCTTAGCATGTCATCAGGGAGTTCCGCTCTGCTTTTACTCCTAAAACCCAGAGAAACCCATGTGTGGGTGCAGAACCTGGGACAAGTGGTTTAATTTACGGCTGCTGAATATTTGGTGTGTAGGATCACGTGGCTCAGATCTGAATGATCTGAAGATTCCAGCTACCTTCAGTTAAACCACTTAATAAAAACAGAATCCAGAGCTTTTCAAGTTTATCCTTGAACAAGTGTACTTGTAGATCTTGTAGATGTCAAAAATATGTACAGTGGTTTGCAAAAGTATTCATACCCCTTGAACTTTTCCATATTTTGTCACATTACAACCACAAACATAAATATATTTCACTGGAATTTAATGTGAAAGACCAACACAAAGTGGTATACAATTGTGAAGTGGAAGCAAAATTTTACATGAATCAAAACATTTTTTACAAATAAAAAACTGAAAAGTGCGATGTGCAAAATTATTCAGCCCCCCTGAGTCAATACTTTGTGGAGCCACCTTTTGCTGCAATTACAGCTGCAAGTCTTTTAGGGTATGTCTCCACCAGCTTTGCACATCTAGTGACTGCAATTCTTGCCCATTCCTCCTTGCAAAACAGCTCAAGCTCAGTCAGATTGGATGGAGAGCGTTTGTGAACAGCAGTTTTGAGATCTTGCCACAAATTCTCAATTGGGTTTAGGTCTGGACTTTGACTGGGCCATTCTAACACATGAATATTCTTTTTTTTAAACCACTCCATTGTAGCTTTGGCTTTATGTTTAGGGTCGTTGTCCTGCTGGAAGGTGAACCTCCGCCCCAGTCTCAAATCTTTTGCTGACTCCAACAGGTTTTCTTCCAAGATTGCCCTGTATTTGGCTCCATCCATCTTCCCATCAACTTTGACCAACTTMCCGGTCCCTGCTGAAGAGAAGCACCCCCAGAGCATGATGCTGCCACCACCATATTTGACAGTGGGGATGGTGTTTTCAGAGTGATGTGCAGTGTTCTTTCTCCGCCACACATAGCGTTTTGCATTGTGGCCAAAAAGTTCAATTTTGGTCTCGTCTGACCAAAGCACCTTCTTCCACATGTTTGCTGTGTCCTCAACATGGCTTCTGGCAAACTGCAAACGGGACTTCTTATGGTTTTCTTTTAACAATGGCTTTCTCCTTGCCACTCTTCCAAAAAGACCACATTTGTGTAGTGCACGACTAATTGTTGTCCTGTGGACAGTTTCCCCCACCTGAGCTGTGGCTCTCTGCATTTCATCCAGAGTCACCATGGGCCTCTTGGCTGCCTCTCTGATCAGTGATCTCCTTGTTCGGCCTGTAAGTTTAGGTGGACGGCCTTGTCTTGGCAGGTTTACTGTGGTGCCATACTCTTTCCATTTCCGGATGATGGATTGAACAGTGCTCCGTGAGATGTTCAAAGCTTGGGAAATCTTTTTATAACCTAAGCCTGCTTTAAACTTCTCCAAAACCATATTCCTAACCTGTCTGGTGTGTTCTTTGGACTTCATGATGCTGTTTGCTCCCCAATATTCTCTTAACCAACATCTGAGGCCGTCACGGAGCAGCTGTATTTGTACTGAGATTAGATTACACACAGGTGGACCCTTTTGAGTCATTAGCAGTCATCAGGCAACTTCTGAATGCAATTGGTTGCACTCAGGGAAAAGGGGGCTGAATACTTTTGCACGTCGCACTTTTCAGTTTTTTATTTGTAAAAAATGTTTTGATTCATGTAAAATTTTGCTTCCACTTCACAATTGTATACCACTTTGTGTTGGTCTTTCACATTAAATTCCAGTGAAATATATTTATGTTTGTGGTTGTAATGTGACAAAATATGGAAAAGTTCAAGGGGTATGAATACTTTTGCAAACCACTGTAAATAAGCAAAGCAGTAGCATAAAGCTAATATTATCAACAGTAGCTAAAAGCTAAAAAGAGTTTAAAAAGTAAATGAGGGTAAATATTTTGAATGAATTAAAGTTCCAAAAACAAACGTTATCAAAACATTAAGGATCAATCTGAAAGGTTTGATAGATGAAAGTATAAACATTTTAAACAATACTTTAAAAGCTGCTTCTGTTGTAAAAATGGTTTAAACAGCTGGTCACCGTGCAGCTGACTGGTAGKACGAGACGTCCCTGTCGTCTCACTGATAGGATTTTAAACCAGAATGCTTCGCATCCAGGAACAGAACCAGATCTAACTGTGTTTGTTTCTGTGCAGGACTGTTCACATATGGATGAACATGGCATCGCGTCAACCCTGCTTCCCCTCATCACTGCCTTCTGCAGAGTAAGTTTCACACCAGTTTTTAATTTGTGAAGGGAGAACCTGAGGTTCTCCTCAGCTCGGACCTAAACACGCCTCTGTGTCTCTGTTGGACAGAAACTGGGAGCAGGTGTCACCCAGTTTGCCTACAGCTGTGTCCAGGAGCACATGGTGTGGACCAACATGCAGTTCTGGGAGGCCATGTTCTACAGTGACGTCCAGAACCACATCAAGGCTCTGTATTTAGAGACRGAGAATGGAGATCAGCTCAACAACTCTGTGAGCAGCTACTCTTCTTATGCAAATGATAACAATACATCAGGTTTAGTTCTGGTCAGGAGCTCGTTGATGTCTCAACAACAGTTCTGGGTTTATGGTCAGGGCCAACAGGACGCGTCGGGCAGCAGGGAAATCAGTGCCTTGGAGCTGGCAGCAGAGCAGAGCCGGCTGTGGCCGACCCTCAGCAAGGAGCTGCAGATGGAGCGCGTGCAGAAGGAGGAGAGCACGGTGTTCAGCCAGGCCATCCACTACGCCAACAGGATGAGCTACCTGCTGCTGCCGCTGGACACCAGCAAGAACCGGCTGCTGAAGAGCACCGGCCTCGGAGACGTAGAGAGCATCAGCAACAGCTACGTCACTAACAGGTAAAGARCGACGAGCTGACCTCGTGCAGCTGTTGGGTGGGCGGGATAGGGCTGAATGGATCGGCCCACTTCTGATGGTACTGCCACAGCTGAAATGGTGAATGTGAAAAGAAATATATTAGAACTGAAAAGAAAAGCTTAATCTTCTGTAAAACAAAACAAAAAGGAGAGGAGCAAACACCCTGTTAGTCTCTGTGTGACTCTCTGTTTCTGCTCTTTTCTTCCTGAAATCAAAATTTTAAAACTAAAAAGTATTTTTGGAYGCCCAAATTTACAGCAAAGATTTAACTTAACATTTTTTCCAAAACTCTTACCATGCTCTCTGTGAAAGTGTCAGATTAAGATGTTTGTAGTTTATCATAAATATCAGTTCTACACAGGATTATTGTGAATAAGCTAGGTTTGGGCTGTTTAGATGTACTAATCCTGTTTATATTTGGAACCATACTGTGTGGTAACTGTATGTAATCGTAATTCAATAAGTGATAAATAGAAAAATTGTATTAAATGACTTCTTAAGTGGAAATCTTTGAAATAATATTTTTAAATTAAATACAATAATTTTACAGGAGAAAGCCGTCAGCCTGGAATCAAAACATGGCAGTTTGAAGTGTTGGCAGTTTATTTTATAGTGTGCAAAGTCCTGCCTGTGCTACAGTTTGTATAGAACAGTTAAAAAAGAGAAACTCTTCTTCATTGTTGAGCTTTWTAAGTCTGGATGACACATGTTCTTCAGCCCAATCAGACAAAAACTGAAGCTTTAGTAACGGATTCTCTCAGAGAAACTCTGTTTTAAATACATATTTTTAGGAAAACAGTAGTACTTTTTAATTTAACTCTTTCACTCCCACCTTCTGGTGTTTTCTCAAACCCTTAATGTTTCATAACTTATTGCTGTTTGGAACAACCTTGAATAAGTTTCTGTTTTCTTATTTCTTGATTTTTCTTTATCTGTTGACAATAAATTTGTTACTTTGTTGTTTGTGCAGTATTAAGCAGGCTGTTCTGCAGTATTAAGCAGGTTGTTTTGCAGTATTAAGCATGTTGTTTGGTCTGCAGTATTATGCAGGTTGTTTGGTTTTACAGTATTATGCAGGTTGTTTGGTCTGCAGTATTAAGCAGGTTGTTTGGTTTTACAGTATTA